GCGGCGGTTGCGGAATGTTTTGGGAGCATTCCAGCCCCACCTCTGATGTTGTTTTGTTGACGAACTCATTGTTATTCTGCTTCTTACGGGGTTCGTCGCTATTTTTATGACTCTCCAGGTTCCCCCCAAGTTCGCTCATGTGGCTCCGCGCTTCCTTCCAACTCGTTGCACGTTTCCCGTTGTTGCCCTGGCTTTCCTCTGACCGCAGTTTTTATTTACGCTCGGGCCCGCGGGTGCGAGCGGGTCTTGGTTCGTAAATAGGGGTTATCGGCTGCAGGGATGGAGCGATCCCTTTTAACGAGTGAGCATTGACATTTTCTCCAGATTTTGCTCTCTTTGTTCTTTCGACAACTGACGTAAAATTAGCCTTTTCTGACATTCATGTTTGATGACTCTATTTGTTTGACGCCATACTTGCTTCCTCAATGGTACAAGGTGGAGCGGTCAAACCAACGGTAAACAGTTGAACGCCCAAGTGATTCCGCGAGGAATCTGCGACCTCGAGCATAAACCGAGCTGGTTTGTACTCATAGTACGGATCAGTGCTGTGACGTAAAACACCAAAAAAACACCCCAACGTCAGCGATCCGGCATTGGCGTGAAATCGAAACGTCGCCGGTACTTGCGCTGGAGAAAAGGCAAAGTTTGCATCAATCTGGTTTTCCACTTGTGTTTTTCTTTCTTTTTTCTTCTTCTTTTACTTTTGAAGTAGGGGTACAGCAGCACTGAAACGCGCATACGCAGCAAAAAGCCTGAACCCAATAAGCCATTCCCTGGGTTTCTTGAGCTGTCAGTGACCCTAGTGTAGAGATGCTATGCGACTGCCGTAATATCCCGAGAGATGGCCCACCCATGAAAGATAACCCAACCTTACTTTTGGCGTGCTTTGCCTTTCTTCTTTTTTTTCAAAAACACCGAAAGATAGCTTACTTCTAGTAATGGCAGGTCTCTGGTCAATGGTGACCTCTGCAGAAATGGCGTTACATAGCCACGGCGGGAGATAGGTGAACATTGCTTACTGGGAAGAACAGTCATTTTTGGTTAATCGCCCCTCCCTGCGATCACGAGCCTTTGCCGGTCACAAAATAAAATAAAAAGAAAACAGCATTTTATTGAACTTCTCTTTTTTTATCGCACACGGAACATTAGCTTACTCCTTATTTTAACCCGATTTGCCTTCAATTTTAGGTGAGCTATTTCTCGGGGTTATTACTGCTTCATTTTACCTCGTGACAGTCGAGCAGCATCGAAGCGCATTGCCACCGTCGTTCATAATATTATCATTGTGAGTTGTCGGTGAATTCAATCGAGCACGGTGAATGCGCGGTGGCCTCGCTCTTTTAGCATGTGTGTCCGCGTTCGAGTCCTTGACTGCCCTCTGCCGTACGATGAAACAAAGTATGCATCGCGTACATCGTATACTTGTCTTTAATGTTTGTTCCGCCGTGGAAGCACAGTACTTCAGTCCAGTGTGACCGGCGACCTTCCCTGCCAAATTCATCAATCTGGACGCTTGTATAAGGTGTTCGGATCATTATCGATCGTTGCACTTGGATGGTACAACATTATTTGTGTACGCCGAATAACTGTTGTGTGGAAGGCGTGGTAAAACAGAACATGCATTTTTTTTTTTCAGGAAAGAACAAGATCATGTTTTGGATGACGTCAATACAAGAGGTGTAGTTCAAGGTAGGAAGGTAGTGGAAGCGACACCGAAAACCGGTAGTGAAAGGAAATAGCGGCGGCATGTAACGAAATAATAAAACAGCGCACGACCTTTTTCATTTTTTTTTATTATGAGGTTATTGTTAGCCTTTCTGACAACGAAGCATGTTGCAATTAATTATTTAAGACATCAATAACCTGGCACATGTTTATCTGATATCAATACCTCGTATAGGAGTAAGAATGAGAGAATAAAACATTTGATCCTCGGCTTCTATGCCGGTGGAAGGCTTTTATAGCGCTGAGAAAATGGAATCAACATCAATTGAGGTGAGTCACTTTTCGGCATTTGACTATACTGGACAATGATGGAGCATGAATATTCGGTTATCACTGGCCACGCTGAAGGTGTCGGCTGTTTTCAGGCCAGTATTCATGAGATTTCAATGACTGGGAATTGAGGGAGTATTTTTGCCATTGGTGTGGTTACAGAAAAAGTCACTCGGTCCTTAGAAAGTAGCGCCATTGCCTTCCCAGCTGCTAGCCGGACACAAGCAGATACGAACATAGAGACGACCAAAACCTCGCAAGGCGATCGACCAGCCAGTTTCTGTCGCCAAGGCAATCGTCATTTAGGTATGTTCAAATCTTCGGAGCTTCTAAACGGTCGTTATGAAACAGTCGCGCCAAGATCGCAATGGAGCTTTATCGTACTGAAAACGTTCCTTGCCAATATAACTGTTTTTTTTTTAAATAGCATGCAATCAACTTATCAATAACGCTTATTTCCACAGATTACTTACAATAATACTGTGTTTTTTTTTGCGTATTTCAATACAATAAAATTATTTTTCAATACCACCAAGGGCCGACTATAGAGAGATTACAATAAACGCTAGTGGCTCAAGCGGCGCTAGTGTGCTGTTGCATTTTGAAGTAGACAGCAACCAGTCTAAATTTGACTTCCCGTAATGTATTCCTATGGGAAAACGCAAACGCAATTTCTCTTCGTGCTAGATTACAAGAGAAGATATTGCTTAGTGTTGTGATAGAATAAAAGGTCTGGAACGTTTTACAATCGGATGTACAAAATATGTGTCAGTTGGAGCGATTTTTTTTTTTAATTCATGGCGTCGAACACTGCGCTAAAATAGCCCAATACGCATCCATAATACGTGTAAACGTTGCAGACTGCTATTATAGGGCACGCGTATTTACGCATATAGTCAATGCTTTGAAGCACATCGAGTGAATCAGCTTGACAAACCATCAAAAGGATGCTAATATCTGCCAGATCAAACAATCAAAACAGACGACAAGAACGAAGCATGGAGTTATGCAACGAAGAACACGTACTGGATTTTTTCTTTTCGTTTCCGTCATCTGAATAGTATTACAGCTCGAATAAACCCTACGCAAATTTAATTGTTCTCTTTACTTGAATTGGTAGCTTGTATTGATATATCATGCTGTACAGCATAGACCTGGGCCTCAATTTTTTTCTAACTTAAACATCTCCCAGTAATAAAAAAACATTAACTAAATAAATTACACTTTTATAATGTAAATAAAGCTACATAGTACCCGATACGAGCAAAGAAGTTACGCTGATTTCTATCATTCCATGGCGAAAAGAAAAAAAAATATCACGTACGTTTTCCCATTGGAATAAACGGGAAGAGTGCAGACGTAGACTGGTTGCTGTCTGCTTCTATTTGTAACCGTAAATCCCGTAGACACTATCGCCAGCTGAGTGTCTAGCGTTTATTGTAATAACTCTAATGGACCGACGCCACATATGTTCTAGCGGTGCGAAGATGTCCGCGTGTTTCGCCGGTGTGTGGATGACAAAATCTACCTATACAAGAAATCACATTACAAAGCGACCTGTCACCAAGATTTTTCATCGGCTCGCCAATAATAAAGAGGTAAAGGAAAAACTGCTAATTCCAAGAACCAAAATGGCGACCATACGAGGGACATTTGCGCTATTTTCCCAGAATCCAGTGACTTTAGTTAGACCTAGGTGTCATACAAAATCCCCCAGATGCCTGTATATTAGTTCAGAAGGTTTTGTTTGCTTGTAAGGCCGGGGTCACACTGCTCATATAGGTCACACAAGAAGACAGTTTACAAACACGAGTCAGGGCAATTGCTGTGGTTCGAATTCCGCGTGCCAAGTTTCTTTTTGAACTCATTGCCATGCGGCATTCGAAGCACATATCTCGCGGTGATTCGCTTTCGAATCTGTATGCAAACGGTCTCTTGTATGATGTACGATCAGTGTGACCCAATGGTTTGCAGGATGAATCGGGTTGCCAAACACATCCTTTGCCGCACAAGCACTTCACGCAGAAGGGCAATGGATTTATCGATCGATTGTTTATTACGAGCTTATTGGTGCACGTGCGATTGTCGTATCATCCATCAATGACAAGATTAGTATTCAATATGGCGGGGAAAATAAAGAATGCTCCCTGAACAAACAAGTCCCGATTCAGTTGCAACCCGTAGAAATGAACGCTAGATTTTTCTATTTCTTTGTGTGCGTGTCTATAACGAAACTAAGTTTTCCACCGTTTTACCTAAAAAAGTAATATAAGGAAAGTTCTCCGCAAACGTCAATCATAAAAATGAAATATCTGCAACCCAGCTTTTATGTTTTGCGTAATTTTACATGGAAGACTCGAAGCTCGTATATACGTGGCAACCCCAATATATTGCAAACCACGTTCTAACAACAACGAAACATAGACAAGTTAAAACCATAGACTGCACACCTCCACGCGCCCCCAATCATGAACCTTTCACCCACGCCCGTGTCACGCCGTCATTCAAATTTCGAGGTCATCGCCTCCATTCCCCACCAAATGATTTTCCAGATCCCGCGAAAACCCCACACCCCGGTCAGACCTCCCGCGCGCGCGCGCGCACGAGGCGACTGACCTCATCGGCGAACAGGGGCAAACAACCCCATCTTCAAACCAAACGCAGCCAGAAAACGAGCACCGATCACCTACACCGCAACCAACCCTTCCTTGCCCCCTTTTCCCCTCCCCTTCTTCTCATCCTCCCTCACTGTCGTCCAAAACCCCAGCCCCCGGATAGACTGACCCGAAACGAGTCGGGGCGTTTCCATCTTTTCCGCTCTCTCGGGGTTCGAACCCCTCTCCTTCCTTTTTTTCTCTCCCCCCATCGACGGAAGAACCCCAGCACGCATGCTCCACTTTCCGGGGCTTCTTGCGCTCTCCCTTCCTCTCCCCTGGACCAGGTGGGCGAGAGTGGAAGCTTGATATCCGGGGCCAGGCGCCGACGACGCCGAGTTGCAACCCCGCGGTTCTATTCTCAGGGTCCGAGATCGTACGCGCGCGCTCCCTTCTCTTGCGTGCAGCGAACGTCCAAGGAGCCGACGCGTATTTTGCGGACTTTCACACAGGTGGCTCGGGAGTGATAGATATTTGCGATAGTTGGTGCGCGGCTGCGAATGGAAATCGGCGAAGCGAGCCCCGATTCTCGCCTCTTCAATCAGCTGATCCTGCTCAAACGTACCTCGTACGACCCCGTGCTACGATTGAGGTAAGTTCCCGACCCCTCCACGTGTCCCGCTCGAAATGCTCGGCTTCGATCGAACTGTACTGCGAAGGATTACAAATAATAACGGCATTGAGGCTATAGATATCACGGCGCGACGTACAAGAACATTGCGCTTATTTGTGTATCTCACGTCGTCTCTCTAGTCTGAGTGTCGCTATTTGTAATCCTTCGCGGCCCAGTTTAATCAAAGCGTGGAAAACAATCCCAATCACTGTTAAATATCATCCCGCTTGAAGTTCACGTTTCGTTGATTATTTATTTTACGATACTGCCAGCCCGGTTAAGGGCCAAAAGCAGAAAAACATCTACCACTGAACCGCCATGAATGCTGCTTTCCCGTCGGTGTAGATTATGTTTCCTTTAGGTAGCGGAATCGATATTCATAGTTGTGACTACCATTCGTATACTAGTCCCACCGAGACACGACCCAATGGAAGGTGTTGAGTCTACCACGTCAACCTTGGTTTACACGTGAACCGGGGTTTTTAATGCAGTCTTGCGACGTGTCTTTTTGCGGAAGTCAAATCATCGCAGAAAAGTGTCATAGAACCAGAGTAACGTGTAAGGGCACAATACGAGGGTTTTTCAAGGTTCTAATGTCGCGCGTAGGGGACCTTAGCGCTGGTGCATAGGAAGCTTGCGACAAAGTGATAATGAGGTGAGAGTCGAGACACTCATATATCGCCGGGGGAGGGAGAGCGTAGATATCAGAGACAGGGGAAGAACAAGATCGGGGACACAGTCTTTCCCTAATGGGGATTAATCTGACCAATGTTTCGCTCCGATTAGTAGGTGGGAAGGTTAGAAATCCAAAGGCGTTTTTGGCAGTCATAGAAGCCGAAACCCATGAAACAGACAAGCTTCAATTTTTTTTTCCAGTTTACGTTAACGGGTTTCTATCAGCTGCACATTGAGATATAAAAGTACGATTTTAAACACACGAATATTGATGGGAAGTTTACGGAAAGCACATCTACATCCTAACGTCTATTGAGATAGGAAATTGGAAAGAGCGCGCAAAAAAGACGAAGACAACGAGAAAAGAACACAGGATTTATTGAGAGAGTGCTCATATTTCGCTTAAGTTGAGGCTTGGGCGAGTTGGTACATACTTCGGAATTAAAAACAGCGCGAAAAGACGAGGACCAGACCCGAACCTGTTAGAGCAGTATCTCAGATAATGACGCGGAAACTTAAATTAAATTGCTAATGTTGAATCGCGAACAAACAGAGCTTGAATGGCCTCTCATTTTGTGGAGTTGCCAGTCTTTCAAAGAGGCTTTGCTCCAAACTAGGTCTGAAACTCGAAGTTTAGCTTTCCTTCCCTCAAGTCTTCGATAAATCAAACAATAATGGGGACTGGAGAGGCTGCAGTCGAAACAAACGCCCAGATTAAGTGTTGTCGCTCATATCGTGAATGGTCGTGTACTATTATGAAGTGTTACCAAATGAATTCTTCATCGTCTTTTTCTTTGTTCTTTTTATTTGTGGGTCAATGACGAAATCTATTCAGCGCCACTTCTTAAATATTTGCAAGAAGTGGGTTCGAACAAATTTTTGTGTAGGGCAACAGCCCATTCATACTTCCCGCCACTACTAAGGAGTCAGCTCTCAACTTTATGAGGTCGGAGAGAAAATCAATAAAATGGATCGATGATTCTCTCCTGTGGTGGGAAGCCTCTTTTTTTCTTCTTACGACGCGTTGTTTTTGTATGTTTACGGAACTCCTCGACACTAAAGGTACGTGATCGATGCATCGACTTCGCAGAGCACTTGGGCGACCAGGAGTTTCCTGGCAAGCAGGCAGGAAACGACAGTGCACATAGTGACGATGTTATAACTTAACTATGCAATTAACGTGATTACACCATCTTTAAAGCCGGGTAATTTGTTCTGAAGCGCCTCTTTGGCTCATCAGAACGCGTAAAGAGAGACAAGCCAATCAAAAGGGCAACATATAGAGAACGCATAAAGAAGGCGCGATGCCGAGACAGCCAAGCTCGCGTCGTCGTTGATTGAGGTCGCGGGGGAGAACAAACGCACGAAGTGTGCGTGGAGCGGACGAACTTGCAGGCCGCATGCTTCGTTTCACAGTATAGTTAGAGTGCAGCCGAAGCTATGGTCTGGCGTAGCCAATGAAGCAGCGCCAAAAGTTGCATCGTCACTGCGCTTCTCGTCTTTGTCCATTCGATATCACCGGCTAAACCAACCCATCGACCTCGTGGGTTGTGGAGCAACGATACGATACTATAGGAACTCACTACGCCTTGCGTTGCTTAAACTCTAGGAGACCGTAACAACAAAGCAGTAGTTGGCCAATGTCACCCTTTCCAACGATCACGTGTCATCAAAGCTGTGGTCCACAAAATGAAAACCGAGAACAAGAAACGTAGTTTTTAACAGTTCTTTGTCGAAAATACACTACAATGCTTCTAAAAAAAAAAAAAATCATATTTTAGCTTATGGATTGAGTGACTCATTCATTGATAATAATTTTCGCCCACGGTGGGGGTGCAGTTGTTAACAATAGCCCAATCATTCTCCTGCAACTCACAGTGTCACTTCTTGCATTAGGTTTCACCAACGGAGAAGTACGCGGAGTTTCAAGAAAGCTAATAGGACCTCTAGACAATTGCAAGCGAGGCGCCCCAAGTGGTGCCAGCACCACCTAGAAGAATCAAAGCCTCCGCATCACCCCCTCTCCCTTCATGAAACGTCATCGCAGTCGGATCGCGTTAACTCGGCTATTGGGCCCGAGTCCGACCTTCGACGCGCTGATTGGACACGAGCCCCGGCCGAACACTGACGCAGCACTCGTGCTCAATCTCAGGCCTCGATCGATCTGACTGTGATGACGGTGCCTTCTGCTTATCTAGGTGGTGTTGGAGGTGCCCCACGCGCGCAGCTCGTGCAGCTTGCGCGTGAACATAGCTTTGTCAAGCTTGCAACCGTGCGGGCTTATTAACACGAGTCGAGACATGGCGGCGGCCAGTCGCCTTGCCTGCAACCGTCTATTCGCGACTCCAGCAAAACGGACGCCACCAAGCGGGAAAACCGGGAACCAGCCGGTCCAGGTCGCTCGCGCCCCTCCGCGTCCGGTGGCTTTCGCGGAAGCGTGTAGTCGGCGCGGTCGCGAACACTGTAATTTGACGAAGGTCCAAATGTTTCTTAAGTTTGCCTGAGTGATCATTAGTGTGGTGAAGCCTCAGTAGATTTTTTTCTTCTATTACGTGTTTGAAAGCCCGTTTACTTCACAGCACACGGTCGCGTGCTTTCGATTTCTTGGATGGGGAGGAATCGCGGAGAAACGTGTTGATTTCTTGTCTGTCTCGATTCACATGCAAAGTGATGACTACTTGGTAACTGATAAGTGGTTTCTTTATAAGGATGTAGAACAGTGGACTGAGGACGACAGACAAGGCATTTTACTGGAGGGAACATCAATGTTGCAGTCAAATGAATGGGAAGGTTCGATAGCTGCTTTTCTTGAGTTTGGTTGTGTTCGGCTATAGCTTCATGTTTGAGCCACCCACCCCGGTCGGTTCGTTGGCTATTCATACTGACTGCTTTTCGCCGAAAAAGCCTCTGGACCACGCTGAAAGAGCTGGGCTGATTTTGCAATTACTTGATTCAGGAAAACCTGCTCGCTGCAAATTATGAATGATGGAAATTATCTGTTTTAAAAAGGTGGGGGACGAGTCTCGCAACGTTAGATGCTGCCACGGCATTTTGACCTATCGCGCCTTCAATATTTATATTACGAGGACGTCGAAGCCAGCAGCAATATACGTCTACATTGCTCAGGTTGACCGGCCACAAAAAATACTCATTTTTTCCGTTCAGGATTCGAAGAAAAGTTCAATGCAGAGAGGTTCTGCGTGAATGTTCGATGAAGACTTTCTTCAGTTTGTCTCCGTGCTGCCGGCTATAGAACCATTTGGCTAAGTTGAAATAGTATCTCTCTGTCTGTCAAATATACTTTTATTCAGCAGCTCACCTAATAGCTAGTCAACTGATATTTACACCCGAAGAATATACTAATATCACCTTAGTGGACATAGTACGTAATATAATACATAACCCGCTAGTCAAAATAACTTCTCGATTGCTACTAAAATATGAATTGAAATACGAGTATCAGCTGCTTAGTGGGGCGCCAGCGGGTTAACATGGTCCTTGACTTAAGAAGCGCTTGCTTAATTTTCGTAATTTTCCTGCAGCCTGTGTTGTTGACCGAGCGGACGACTGGAGCTGTTTCTTAAATGCGGATACGCACAAAATGCTGGATTTCGCGAACAGATAATTCGCATGGTTGAGGCATGCAAGTTAGCTGAAAAGTTACTCTCTGTGGAACAATTCTGTAGTCATCGCCACTTTCCTTAGATGATCAAAACTGATTAGTATATTACCGCCTCTCCGGAGTCCATAGTTTCGGTTTTGAACGAAATCTCCGAAACGAAAGTTTGACACGAAAAGAACAAAAAACACCGGCAAAACAAAACTATGCTTTGCAAGTTTATCTGCACCGGCTACACCTAACCGTCTCAGTTCAAATACCTATAAAATTGGGCATTAAACAAAAGAAAATCTGTTAAATTGAACGCGCCACCTATTCAGGCGGCCCGGCCGAGCCGACGCGACCTGGACTCAGCCGCCATGTTTGTTTGGTGGTAGCGCCCCCTATAGGTCGCTGGAGTCGCGAATAGACATATTGCTAAATTTCCGTAAATTTCCCAAGCGCCAAGGAGAATGCAGGGATTGCTGTTCCACGCGCCGCACGTGCTGGCCTCAGTAGTAGAAACTTTCCTAAAGCAAATGCCTCAAACAAATGGTATCTTGCACGCGCGTTCGTCAACGCTTTAGTTCTGTTATTTACTTCGAATCTTTTATACTGGGAACGCGTGCGCGTGTGGCGCCTGGAACACCAATTCCTTCATTCTCCTTCATGCTTGGGTAATATAGCAAATGGTCTATTGACTCCG